AATTAAATTCTGATTTAATTAATGATTGAAAATCTCCCAATGGAAGTAAATTCTATTAAATTAAAAATAAATTAAAAAAACGAATAAATAAATAAATAAAACAAACAAGAAAATCTCCGGCAAGACCACCTCGTTTTGACCATGGTTCTTCATCACCTGACATAAATACTGATGAACGTCTTTGATTATTATCTCAAATAATAAAAAAATAATTCAAAAACAAGAAGTAACTAATAAAATTTTACCAATCCAATAAAGATATTTCGAACAAAGATTAATTGTTGAATTAATATCATTAATATAATTATAAACATCATAAAGCAATGCACGATTATGAATAGCAACTAATTTTTGAAGTAAACGAGATATATCTTTTGCATTATCATGAAATACTGATGCACGACAACGCCAATCGTTTAACTAAAAAAAAAATAATAATAAACATTTTCATTTATTTTTAAAAAATTAAGATAATATGTGCGTGTGTATTACATTTTGATCTTGATTATAATTAAATCTAAGCCAATAAAAATCAATAAATACTTGTTGTATATTTGGTCCATGTTGATAAGGTAAATAAAATAATTCAACAAGTAAACGAATATCATCAATTGTTAAATAAATATTATTTGTATTATTATGATCACATTCCATAATATGAGTTTTTGATGATGATGAACATGTGGGATTTTCATTAATTGATTCTTGAGAATCTTCATCATTTATTAATAATGATGTTACTGATTTTGGACTCATTCCTTGAGGAGAATTATCAATCTTAATATTTTAATTAAAATAAAAACAAATACGAAAATATAAATAAATAAATAAAGAATTTCAATTACTTTTACAATCTGTTGTGAATCATTAGCTGATTTTATTTTATTAAATTCTGGTAACCAATCAATTAAAGATTTATGAAATACTTTATCAATTTGATAAATTTCTGATGTTTCAATATTATTATCATCATCATCATCAAATTGATCTTGTTTTTCATTTATTTTTATTAATTGAAACCATTGACCAAGAGTATGTAATGGAATAAAATTTAATTCAAATTCACAATTTGGATTCAATAACATTCCACATATTCGTCTTGATATATTTAATGAACGACCTGAAAATGGTCCCATACATAGACGACGTTGATCATAATCATTTGCATTTAAATTATCCCAAATTGTAACACGACGTTTTAATATATTATTTATTGATAATAAATGAGACATTGTTATTCGTCGAGATACTACTTTTGGACCTACAAATTTATTTTTATTTATTTACTTTTTTTTAATATTATTTTACAGAATTTTATTCGATTCTTAATTAAAATATTAAATTCAATTCGATACATTTATGTCAATAGAAAAAAACATTCAATTAGATTTCATAGAGATTCTTCAAAAAATCTGAAGATTATTAAGGGATAACCATATTTGAAAAAGATTGGATAAGATTTGACTATAGAATTATTCTATATAGAAAACAATCTTTTTAGTTCATATGAATAAGTCAGTAAATTCTTCAATATTGAATAAATCTAAATATCATTATTATTATCGTTTTTGATTCGAAGAAGAAAAAATTTGTTTTATTCTAATTTATTTTTCATCATTTTAGAAGTTTCTTTTTTTTCCGAATATTTATTTGAAAAATAAATTAAAATTCAACTATGTTCTAGATAGTTATACTCATGATTAAATTAAAGTCTCATATACTCATATCAATAAGAAGCGAAAACATTGACATTGTTTCCTAATAGTCATTATGTTTTATTATTATACGATTTTCTTATTTGTACGAGTTTCTTCGAAATGAACAAAGGTTTTTTTTTCCAAGTATTTTATTCATTTAGTCCATGTTTGTATCAATAATTTGTTTCATGTTGCAATTGATTAACAAAACTCTAATCTTACGAAGGAAATTTTTCAACTAATAAATTGATTTTTCAATTCGGACTCTCCATTATAAGGTAGACTCTAGTTAAATATGAAAAAGTCTCAAAAATGATAGATTCTCCTAGAACTTTGAACAGAAGTCCTAAGAGACTTTATCATTTTGCGATTTTTCATATTCATAGAGTCCGAATTGAAAATGTTTTCTCATTCGATAGAAGCATACATATAACTTATAATAACTACGCTCTTTTTTCTTCTTGTCAATTAAATATTTTAGTTCAATATCAAAAGTTACAAAAAGAAATGATATGATTAAAAAAAAGAGTATTACCTGTCCAGAAAATATCAATATCTGTATGTAAACCATTTCCGATTGTTTGTAAATATGAAGATTTTTCAAGAGATGGTTTTGCCATTCGACTACAATAAACTAAAAATAACCTATATAAAAAAAAAGAAAATTTAATTTATTTTTAAATAATTAACCTGTTGGACAAAGTATAAAAATATTTGGTTTATTAAGATAATCATATAATTGATTAGTAATAGCAACATGTGCATGAGCAAATGATGGAAAATTTTCTTTATCTTGATGAGACATTTCACTTTCAATATCATCAAATAATAATGCCCAATGTTCACATCCAATAGTAGATAACTAAAAACATTTAAAAAAAATTTATTTCTCTTTTTAATAAATAAAAATTAAAAAAAAAAAAAGAGAACTTGATGAAATTTTTGTTTAAGTGTTGTTAAATCTTTTTCAGATGAATAAGTTATATCAAGACCAGGTGATAATGCATATACAAAATTAATTCCAAATTGTTTAGCTGTATGAATTAATTGAGCTAATTCATTTGATTCTTCATTTGTATATAAATCTCTCCAACGAGATCGATGTTTTGCATCATCTTTTGGTGCATATACATATGTATTTAAACCAAATCTTAAACAACTATTTAGAAATTTCAATTTAAATAGATTTATTTTTTTTTTCTTAATTAATATTAAATACAAACTATTCAAAAAGTGCTTTTCGTTGATTAAATGACCATGGACGACCATAATAACCTACAATTGATTATCGATTTAAATTTTTCTTTTTCAATTTATTTCATATTTAAGATAAGTATTTTATTATCAAATTTCAATCATATTTAAGAGAAAAATCAAACTAGATTAATGCGATTTTTTATTTTGATTATAAATAAAATAAATGTAATTAACTTAAAAATCTGTCTACATATCTTCTGAAAGAATAAATATTTCATAAATAATTATGTTTGAAATTGATTTCTTTTTCTCTTAAAGCTACCCTCACCCTCAAAAAAGGATCTCAGGCCAGGAGGGGCGGCGCGAAGGGATAAGAGCGGGGGGGGGGGGTATTGTGAAAAATGGGAGAAAATAGAAAAAAATCTCTAAATTGTAAGTACCTAGTACCTTATTTTTACTAGTGTTTTTGAAAGCAAGTAGATAGGTAGATTCTTCTGTTATCAATTACAAAAAATGGAGAACATTGTAATAAAGGTTCTTCAGAACCGGAAGAAGTTCAAAATATATCTTCTCGGAAGTTGAAAAATTTTTCAGACATTTTCTCCAAAATTGGAGACATTTTGAGACATTTTTTCCAAAATTGAAGAAATTTTGGGACATTCTCTCATTAACTGGAGACATTTTAAGACATTTTCTCTCAAATCGGAGAAGTTTTGAGACATTTTCTTCAAAATTCGAGGAATTTTAAGATATTCTGTCCCAAATTGAAGAAAGTCTGGAACATTTCCTCATTGGTTGGAGAAATTTTAAGACATTTTCTCTCAAATCGGAGAAGTTTTGAGACATTTTTTCCAAAATTGAAGAAGTTTTTGGAACATATTCTCACCAACTCGAGAAATTTTGAGACATTTTCTGCAAAATTCAAGAAATTTTGAGATATCCTCTCACCAACTAGAGAATTTTTAAGATATTTTCTGCCAGATTCAAGAAATTTTGAGACATTTTCTCCAAAATTAGAGCAATTTTGGGACATTTTCTCATTGACTGGAGAAATTTTAAGACATTTTCTACCAAAATGGAGTCATTTTGGGACAGTTTTTCTCAAAATCGGAGAGAGCTGCAGTCGAACTTTCCAAAGCAGGGGGGGTACCCTCCCCCAACCCCCTCCCCCGTTCGCGCCGCCCCTGCAGGCCAGGAACGTTCGAATGACATGAAATTTTCAGCCCTGTACTATGACATTTGAGGGGAATATTGGCAAAACAAGGGTCAAAAAAATAGCTCATCTCGTCTGCAAACTCTTATTTTTTAAGAGGAAAAAAAGGGATCAAAAGTTCAAAAAAACTCTCTAAAAATGGTGCTCCAGTTATATAAATGTTCGTATATATATATGCTAAAAGCAAAGCTTAAAAAACAAACAGGCTCTCATAGGCATTACATTCTGACATGCTCTTTCAAACTAAAAAAAACTATTGGCTACGATGAAGCTCTCTCGAGATTTCTTGAAGATACGATTGGAAACTTACAAAACAAGAAAAAGATTTTTATTTTCCGAATAGGTAATAACGGAAATCTTCAAACATTTTTTTGGAAAAAAACGAGGTGCTGAGTAAAAATTTTTGCCGTATATATGAGAAATCAGATCACGGACTATCTTTTCCTGCATTTATCTTAATTTTGATCATTCTAACGAAAAGTGACTTTTTTAAGGGGCGGGAGGAGTGGCCTTAAAAATATTCATATCAATTTGATTTTTTTTTCTCAAAATTTCTTTCTTGATAAAAATTTAATAATAATTAATTTCAATTCATAAAATCATTTTAATGATAATCTTTAATTTGTATTAATCTAATTAAATATTTGATTAGTAAAATATGAAGAAGAAAAGTCAGAAGAGAAAATGAAATATTGAAATAGATTATAATTAAACCTACCTTCAATAACTCCACAAAGAAAATCATTTGTCTTCATCTTCTTTATTTAACTAACATCTAGAATAATTGTAAACTACTCGGCTTTTTTTTTTTGCTCTCTTATATATTATCTTATATATTATCTTTAAGGTAAATATACATATTGAAAATGATATTTAAGAAAAAAAAAAAGAGTTTATTTAATAGATGAGTCAAATGTAAAAGTAAGATTAGTTTGATGAATTTGATTCCAAATATCAATTAATTTTTGAGTACGATATCCTCGAAAACAAATTGGATTTTTTGTTGAATTAAAATAAATTTGATTATTAAATATAGATTTCCATTGATATAAAAATCTCAATTGATTATTATTCAATTTATAATTTAATGATAAAGATGTTGAAAAAAGTTGATTATTTGCAATTAAATTAGTTGACATTGAATACGATAAAAGTCCCATATAAACATGATCAAAATAAAATAAACGAATATATTTTGATGCGATATAATATAAACGTGCATTATAACGTGTCATTAAAAAACATCCAGTTGATATATAATTAGGATACATATCATATGGATAATCATTAATTGATACATACCAACGATCATTTATAAATCTTCGAGGACGAGATTTTTCATGTAATTCACCTGTTAGAAATGTTCGTCGTTCATAAGTTGTCATTTCTTTATCTTCATCAATACTATATATATATAATAATAATGAATCTAAATCAACATAATAATCATCATCAACAAAAAGAACATATTTTCGAAGATCTATATGTGGTGCTCGACGAGATTTTGATGTACAATAATCATTTATCCAACGAAGCATCATTATCATTTTATCTTTACAAGAAATCGTTTTTTTTTTTATTTTGAAAGAATTCTATTTTCAAAAAAAAAAACGCTTACATGAACTATAATAATAATAATCGATTTTATCAATTTGAATTATATCTCCATATTTTGCTGATTCATCTTCAACACTTGTATTATGAGCATTTGTACCTTTAAAAAAAATATTTTCTAATATTTATTTTTTTATTAAAGAATAGGATTTTTTAATAACTAAATTGAATATGAATAGCAAAGAACATGCAATATGCATAATTAACTAAGATAATCTAAGTGGATTTTATCGAATAAAACAGATTGAATTAAACTTACGTATTTAGAAGAGATTTCTTTTTTTTTTTAATCTAATTTTAAATTTTAATAAAAATAAAATACAAAATAAAAATAAAAATTGATTTACCTAAAACAAATGCTAATTGAATATTTGTTTTTAATAAACGATTTTTTTGTGCCCATGTCATTCTAATAGCTTGTCGTTCTTGAAAATTTTCACAATTTGATTTAACTAAAATAATTAAATGTGGATGAATAAGTGTTTCAGGATCAAGTGAACGACCACATAAATATTCATTTTTAATTAAAAATTTATTTGGAAGAATATTTATTGGTAAACCTAATACTTGTTCAACATTTTCTTCAATTTTAGTTACATCGATATGTATCATTCGTAAATAATATTCATTTTCAAATGATTTTTCAGACCATATTGAACTATTAAAACCAATTAATATATTTAAATAATATAATATTAATATACAAATAATGCATTTCATATATACTGATAAATGACATTGACATGAACCAAATAATTTATTTAATGATTTATATTTAAAAATAAATGAATGATTTACTAATTTTATTGATGACGGCATCTTTTTTGTGACCTATATATATATATATTTATTATATTAATATTAACTTATACCAATATTTAAATAACTTTTTTTTTTTATTCTATTCGAAAATTTAGTATATCAATTAGTCATTATCTATCAATAATTTGATTGAGTTCGTTTTTCTTTTTCTTGTCAAATTAAATTTTTATGAAAAATTTATCTTTATCAAAAATAAATCTATTTACAATAAATATATTAATTACTTGTTTTACAGATAATAAACAAAGTGAAAATCAAAGATAATATATGAACTTAATTATATCATTGATATCTTGATTAAAAAAGAGAACTTTGTTGTCGATATTTCAATTTGATGACCAAATTAAAAAGATATTCGACTGAAATCTTTGTCTAATACGAAATGCATCCTTTAGTTCTAGAAGATAATATCATTTTCAACTGAAAAATTATCTATTTATGAAATAATCGTATCTTTAATTTGATTCATAAATTGATTTATTTGCTTTGTTTAATCCTCTGACGTTAATAACAAGTCTTATCGTTTTAATCATATATATTAGAAACAAAAAAGAAACACAAAACAAGAATAAAGCATAGCGCATATGATGATAATCTAATAAATATGTTAAAAGGTAATTGACAAAGAGACAATTTGAAGATAAATACAAAAAAAAACCTACCTCAAATAGAATATTTCTCGAAATTCAACACGGCATTTAACTTAATATGTTTCACATCGATAATCAATATATCATTCCAGAGATGTCCATCGCAGTGGCTTCGCGGCAGCTTTTTTAGAAAGAAATTTCAAAAATATATGAATTTGTACAGAATCTCCGTATTCATATATGTGATACTTTAAGACTTAGCAAATCTGGTCGAGTAGCAACAGCAGTTCTAGTTCAAACCAGTCACGGTCTTCAAAAACTCGAAACATTTTTTTGAATATCATCGCGATAGCAGCAAGTTTTTCTTGCCCGTCGCTGCGGCGTGACAGCAGTCAATTCTCAGCCACGATGGACATCTACGATTCAATGTAATCATAACAAAATAAAGATACAGTCAAATATATCTATATGTTAGATTAATTGTTTAGAAATCTTATTAGACCAAATCGATATTTTATTTTGTTGCCAATTGGAAAGATTCATATTTAAGCAGATTTTATTGATCAAGAGATTAATCATCTACAGAATTTCTCAGATATCTTAAAATATTTCGTCCAATATGTATAAAACTGATCAACGAATGAAGAATAAGAAAAATTATCAATTTATTTCATAACTATATATAAACTATGAAATATGAATTATCTTCATTAAATAATAACAATTATATAAAATCTCGTCTATATAAATCGACTAATATTTTGTCAAATCAATGTTATTCTTTTTCCATTGATAGAATTAAATATTTCGTTATCTGTTATGAAATTATATTGATAAAAAAAGCAAGAGTTTTAATTATATTCTAATTATTTTCTCTATTATCAATATTGATAGTCTTGCAGGTTTGTTTTTTTTTTTGTTATTTATCGATTGATTATAATTATAAACGACTTACTTTGTTAAGACTTGAAACATATAAAGATATTTAGCTAAAATTATTAAAGAAAATTAATCTGTAAAAAATGAAATGAAACAATGAATAAAAATTTCAAAAAAAAAAAACCCTAATGAATAAATATTTTTTTCAATAGTGAGATTGAGATATTTGTGCAAATCTTTTAAAGTTTTTTTTTTTTCTTCTTCTTCGAAGTTTTTTTTTTTCTTGAGTGCATAAAATAAAACTGTTTAATGGCAAGTAAGAAATAAAGCGAACGAAATAAATAAACACAAACGTGTATCGGACATGAGACAAAAAAAGAAAAAAAATGAAATTTTTTTTTTTGCTAAACGAAAGTCACTGCAGGTTTATTATTCGAAGATATTTGATCATCTACATTTGAATTCATTGTAGAATTTGGTCGAATAATTAATTCAGGTCCACCACCGTATATTGAATATAAAAAATTCCATATAGATTCGTTAACTTGAAAATAATTACAATCTTAAAAAATAAAAATTTTTTAATTAATAACAAAAAAAAAAATTATTAATAAAATAGTTCACCACGTCTAAGTAAACGAGTAATGCCATTTTTTGTTATTGAAATAGATGCATTTGATATTTGACCTGGTGGTTCTATTTAATCATTTAAAGAAAAAATATATATTTTTTTTTAAAAATATTATAAATAAATCTTTACCAGATGATTTTTCACAAACAAAATTTTCCCAATCTCGATACCAATTTGGACTAAGTGCATAAATAGCATCAGTATCTTTTTCAGATCTTTTTAACTAAAAAAAAAGAAAAGAAAAAGAATAAATTTTTTTTGTTTAAACTTTGTGTCATCAGAAGGTAGGTTGGTGATTTCAAATGTATTCGTCATTTATAATCAGTGCCCAATGCTTTTTCATCAAATGACACACATACACAGACAGTTTGATTTCTATTTGTTAGATTCGAACATCTATATCAATATTATTAAACGATTCGAATAAAATTTTTTATTTTTTTTCTTGAATAACTCAACATATGTCAACGTATCGTTTTCAATAAAATCGTTTTTGAGCATCACTTTTCCATAGAGAGCTATTCTCATTTCAAAGATTATTCTTCTCTTTAATTTTCAAAAATTTTACATTTTTTTCTTTTGGCAACTTAAGAAAAATTACGTTCCATTCTATACTTAAAACATTTGAGACAATAAATTTTATCATTAAAATCCTTTTTTTATTATAATGAACGTTTATGTGTAAATTCTTAGTTTAGATTCTAATTGACCCATGATTTTTCTGAAAAAGTAAAAACAAAAAATGTCTAAGAATTTGTTAATATTAACAGAAAATCATTCAAAAACACAAGATCTTGCTAAAATTTTCATTTTTTATCAACATGAACAAATTATCAATTATTTAATCAAAGAATTTTCATAAAAATAAAAATCTATGCGTATGCAAAAGTGAAACATTTATTTCGATATTTATAAATAATAAATCAACAACGGATTATTTTATTTAACTTAGTTAGCAATCCTTCCTTTATCAATCCGATATCGACATTTTATTAACGATTTTTTCTAATTAAAATCTTATTATTAATTAGAGATACTCACTTAATATAATCATCATATTCTTATTTTCAACTTTGTTTATTTTATCAGATTCCTATCATCGAAATATTCATTTTAACTAAATGTCAAAATCTTTCTTTCTCACAGTCTCAATAGAAAGTGACCTTTTCTTTACGTACAGAAAAAGCAGTGATAAAAGTTATTCAATATTGAAGATCGACTTCAATTCTATCAAACTAAATTTAAAAATGAAATAGAATAATGTTAGAATATCCAATGGTTGACAATCTCATTGAATAGCATTATTAACCATTCGAATAAATGTGTCGATCATGAGAAGATAAAAATTTAAGGTGAACAACTGTGATAGGATCTTTCAATAATCTTATGAAAAAAAAAACTATTGAATGAATATGTGCATAGAACAAAGTCGGTTTATCAAACGATAATCAAAGTAAAATTGATTGAAAAAAAAATAAAATTTAATTTAAAATAATAATAAATAGTCAACACGAATACTTACTTGTAAGAAAGTTTTCTTTTCTAAACGTTGACGACATTTTAAATTTTCATCATCTAATTGACATTTTCGACATGGATATAATATATTACATACTGAACATCCACCATGTCTGTATTAGACAAAATAAAATTTAAAAAAAAAAACTAATATTTTTATTTTTATTTACTTTTCAGATAAATATTGCCAAACACTTTCGGGTACTGGACAAACAAGATCATTAATAACACTCCAATAATGTGGTAAAACACCTTTTTGTTTTTTAAATAGAAAAAAAAATAGCTAAAAATAAAAATCTTTTGTTTTTTAAATAAATCAAACCTCCATGTTTACATAAAAAATCATTATTTGTGATTGGTCCAGGTTCAGCAAAATAAAAAAATCGATTTATCCATGAACGAGATATATAAAATGGTAGAAGATAATCCTTTATATTTAACAAAAATATAATTATTATTTTTATTTTTTGTAAAAATATTTATTTATTAAAACAAACTTGATCTCTTGCAAGTAAATGACGAATTGCTTCATATGTTTCACTTATATTTGGTTCTTTTTTTCTAAAACCAAAAAAAAAATAGAAATTCTCTTATTTATGAAATCAAAGAATTAAACCTATAAAAAAGAACATATGCTTCAGCATTTTGAACAATTGCTGGATCAACTTGTCTAACATTTTCATCATCATATTCATACCATTGTTGATTAAGACCATTTAATGCATATGTTATATAATGACCACTACCAGCTCGACCATAATGAACAATACATGCAAATAAGTCATACATATGAATTTTACTTCGACAATCTATTCAAATATTTAATTAGTAAATAGAGTATTAAGAAACAAACAAAATGAATAAACCTTTATGAATAAATGGTGTCATATCAAGATCGACTAAAGGGAATGATACATAACTTCCTATTTTTGTATAGATCATTGAATCATGACGGAAACGTTTTAAATGTATACATAATACCTACAATTAACATTGATTTTTCTTTTTAAATAAAATTTCTAAAATATCTTTGATCTAACAATAATTTAATACGAAAATATTTTCTCTTATTAGTTAATAGATAGATCACAAGTTTTGTACATAGAATATTAATTCGATATTAATTTATGTAATTCATTCAGGGTTTTTAATCAATTAGATCCTGTGAGATTAAAATATGAAACACGGTGTTGCTACCATTACTTATGATGCGAATATTATTGTATTTGGTCTATCTTGGGACCGATTGTTGCACCATCTTTTACTTTATCGTCTAGAACTACAATAAGGAAGATGGGTACAGTCCATCGGATTCGTATCCAAAAATCCTCGGACCCGAAAGGCTCTAGTGATGGGTTTGAAGTCCATCTGTCACGATC